TGTGATTATAAGCCTATAAGCACACCTCTTTATAACCACACAGTTTTGTGGTCCCGACAGGTGTGACTATAAGGGGGATGACTGTATTGTTTGCAAGCATTTGGATTAGTCCTTTGTGTGAGTATGTAACGTACATACTGCCTCGAAGTGTTGTGGTCGATGCCTAACATAAAACTCTTTCCGGGGTGCTTTTAGGAAATGGCTAAGCGGAAGATCTTTGCTAACGTTATTTTAGATTTATATTGCCTTTAATGCACTTTAGGTACATCAGTTACTTTTCAAAAATTAAAAACTTACGCTCAACGTCCTTGTTGTAGAGGTACGTTTCACATATATTGTTGGCAAGCCCCTGGATTAGTCTTTTGTGTGAGTATGTAACAGACATACTGCCTTGAAGTGTTGCAGTCGACGTCTAACATAAAACTCTTTTCAGAGTGCTTTTAGGAAATGACTGGGCGGATGATCTTTGCTAACGTTATTTTAGATTTCTATTATTTTTAAATATCATCGAGGTTCATATTTTTGGAGATTTTAACCTTATGCAACGTTCTCATCGTAGGATGCAAGTAACATAGGTATTAGGGCATGATACTGGAGAAAAGCTAGCACTTCCAAGGAAGGTATACCGGGATTTTCATGTAAGGATACTTACTTAGTTATCGTCGACTAGTCATTTTAGCAGCAGGGTAGTCCAAATATTGTTAAGAGAAAGGATACCATCCAGGTCGTCAAAGCACGATAGGAATACATTGTGGCCTACTAATGGAATTGTTTTCATTTAAAATCATGAGAGGTGTCCCGTTGGTGATGTGGTGACATAGCTGTGTTTGAAGGGTGACCATCCTATTCCCAGTTTCTTTATATAAGACATTTCTAATCGTGTTCGTCCCCCTTTTCCAGATTATGTAAGAGACGATAAAATAACGAGGAAATAATGATATTAATGGAATTTTTAACAAGGATCATGTTACAAATGATAGATATTGAAAATCATTTAAGAACTACCTGAGTTTGAATTTGAGGTCGTGAAATTTCACCCAGCAGATAATCATTGAATTTATTCAGATTATTTAGTACTTTAACTAATTGTAACTAAATGCCTATCAAAATAATTAAAAGTCAATTTGTTATTATAAAATAAATTATCTATTGATTTTTCTTATTTTATTAAAAATTTATTATAAAATATTTTAATTTATGTCGGGTCATTAACTCTTGGAATGACCCAATAACTATGACAAGTCATTAAAGTCATTTGGGTCATACTTGCCAACATTGGATTTGAATGGGTTCGTGATGCGACTCAAAAAATTTGCTAAGCTGCCGTATTTTAAATCAGAGATACGCAGTTTTCAGTGTGGACAAATTAGCCTCGTTCAATATAAGTACGTGTTTAATTAATTTCATGAAGCAGTATTTTATTACTAATTTAATAAATAAACGAATCTACCAGTTTGATGATAAACATAGGACGGAAGTCTATTATAATCACGTTGTTTTTTTTTGTAAGAAAATAAATTAATAATAATAAATCAGATTCCTTAATATATTTTTACAAATTCTTATTTTTCTCAAAACACTTTTGAAAAAAAAACCTTTTTTCATGACGAATTTTAACCTTCCGTATTAGTTTGTAGGTATATTTACTTCACTCACAATTCAGTCTTTAAAAACCTATTGTCATTAATAAATATATTTTTTTTTATTAAATTAAAAAAAAATTTGTGATAATTTAAAAAAAATATATTATTATAATAGAAAGGCTATATCAAGAAGTTAGAGACCCAGTAAGTCATTAGATCATTGGAACAGAAAGAGATTTAGGGTAAAAAAGTATTAATGATTTAGGTAAATTTGGTAAGCTAGTGATCTGAGTTTTCTCGCAGTGGAGAGTTGTTAAGGAATCAGGTAAATGGTAAGCTAGATATTTGAGAATCAGAACAATCAAGATAAATTAAAGAGTTAGGTAAGTTGGTATGCTATTATTTTGAGTTTTATAGCAGCGAAGTGTTGTTAACAAGTTGGTAAATTAGTTATTCGAGTATTAAAGCAGATAAGTCAAAGAGTTGGGTAAAGTAAGTAAACTAATTATTGGAGTATTGGAACAGTCGAGATGAATTAGGGTATCAGGTAAAATTGGTAAACTAGTTATTGAGTATCAGAGCAGCGAAGGGTTGTTAACGAGTTATATAAAGTTGACAACTAATTATATAGTACAAAAGCTATATATTTCTTTAAAGAGCTAGTTAAATTTCGCAAACTATCTATCTCATTATTATTGCAGTGGAGATAAGTTAAGGAATTAGGTAAAGTAGGTCAACTAGTTAATTTGTTTTATAGCAATTGAGTTTCGTTAAAGAGGTTGGTAAAAGTTGATAAGCTGATGATTGGAGTATGCGAGCAATCAAGAATTTTAATGAGTTAGGTAAAGTTGGCAAGCGAGTCATTTGAGTATCAGTACATTCGGGATAAGTTAACCAATTTGGTGAACTTGGCAAACTTGTTCTTCCTATATTGTCGCAATAGAGTATTGTTAATTTTCAATATCTTTGTAATCCTCATAAGGTATTTAAGATGTCATCCTTATTTATCTTTATAATAATCAAACTATTAATAGTATAATCATAATTAATGTCTAATTCTAGATTTCTGATCCTTTCTTCTAATTCTTTGATTTTTTCTTGTTCTTGTTTAGCATTTGGTAATTCTTCTTGCTTTATAATCTTAGTTTCTAAATCATTGATGATTACTTGCTTGGCTTTAGTTTTTTCCTCTCGCTCTTTAACTTTTTCTTCTAAACATTAATAGTTTCTTGTTAGACTTTGGCTTTTCCTTCTCATTCTCTAATCTTTTCTTCTATAACATTTATGGTTTCTTGTTTAACGTTGATTTCTTCTTCACGTTTTCTAATCGTTTCTTCTAAATCATGAATCGTTTCATATTTGGCTTTGGTTTCTTTTTCTTGTTCTTTAATCTTTTCTTCTAAGCCAATCATAGTTACTTGCATAGTTATGGCCGCTCCATCTCGCCCACTAATCATTTCTTCTAAAACATCAATAATTTCTTGCTTGGCGTTGGTTTCTTTTTCTCATTTTCTAATTGTTTCTTTTAAATCATGAATCATTTCTATGCTTAGTCTTGGTTTCTTCTTCTTGTACTTAATCTTTTCTTTTAGGTACATTATTGTTTCTTGCGTAGCTTTAGCTGCTTCTTCTCGCTTTCTTTCAAAAAATTAATAATTTCTTACTTGGCTCTGGTTTCTTTTTCTCGCTCTCTTATCGTTTCCTCTAAAACATTAATAATTTCTTGCTTAGCTTTGACTTCTTCTTCATGTTCTTTATTTTTTTCTTCTAAACTTTTGAATTGAAACCTTAACTTTGACAATTCCTTCCTTTTAATCACTAAATCAAAATTTAAGTTTTGAATGTCTTGCCTTATCTCAGTTAGTTTCTTTCCCGCTAATAATTCTTTAAATTATCTAAACTATCACTACCTATTTCATTCCATAAAAAGGAGAGTATCAATTGATTATCTTCGTCGGCTATCTTTTTACTTTGCTCTAAATTTTTAATAATTTGTTTTTTGGCTTGTAATTCTCGAGTATGTTTAATTTCAAAGTCTTTCATGTCTTTTACTTGGATATTTATTAAAGCCATTTGAATCCCCTTAATTTAGAAAATTTTGTTGATAAAATGTTAGGTAGAGGTATTTTTCTAAAAAAAAAAAAATAAAATAAAATAAAATAAAATAAAATAAAATTGTACATTCCTCATATATAATTTATTAATTAATGATTTCCTCATAAATAATTTAGTCTTAAACTGCTATTTAAAGTATATGGCACGCTGAGATGATATAAATTTTGGCAATAAAACGTTAAACCTAACCTATTATAAATGAGTTTTCGAGTTTATGTGTAACATATTTACCATAAAAAACTCGATTTTTGATATTTCATTAATCGTTTTGTGATTGTGCAAAGAATTACACCAAAATGAAATGAATGTTGGATTATGAAATATTTTCTGCATATCCATTTTTTTTATTTTTTTTTAAAAAAAAAAACATTAAAGAAAAATATTATTTAATGTCATTTGGATAAAAATTATAAATCTAACTTGAATAATTTGTATTTGTTAAATAATTTATAATTTTTGTTTTCCTTAAGACGTCTCCTTTTAACAATTTGACAAGAATCCATCTTTTTTTCCTACTTCGAGAGATTAATGTATCCGCAAAGGATATTTTAATTCTTTAAAAAAGATTCTCAGAATCCTAACTAAATATCCAAAATAGGAAATTATTTATCATATTTAAACACAGCGGAATTGTTTTGTTTTCATAACATTAATTTATTCTTTGATAACAAAAATTAAAAAATTAATGAATTTCGTTCTTTTTCTTATTTGGTAAAAGATTATCGTATCGTGCACAAATAAAAATTAGCCAAAACAAGTTACACGATAGCAATAAGTATTAGTAAAGAATTAAAAAGCCTATATCAATAAAATTTGTAAATATAAACCTTTTTTTAATTACACAAATTTCCAATAAATCTATTTCCAATATGAACGCTTTTTTATATAGACTTAATTATATTCTTATTTGAAGAATTTTGTAAATTATGCGTAACTAGACCAGATGTTACATTCGATCTGAAAATGTTATGTTAAAAAGAATTTCTATTATCATTACAATCATTCTTATGATGACAATGCGAAAATTAAATGGCGAGGGATTATATTTTCAGGAAATTATTAATATAACATTTCACAGATTTATTAGTAGAATTAAGTTAATTTATTAAAGAATTTCAATTATAAATATTAGAAATTGCGTAATTAATTTTTCTTGTATCTTTGGTATAATTTTAATTAATAGAATGCATAATAATTTGGAACAAGAAGACAATAATGCAAAGCTAGCAGAAAAATATTGATAATTAATATATATATATATAAAATAATTCCCATTAAGAAAATTCAATAATGTCAAATTTTCAAATATTTTAATAAATTGTTTAATGAATAGTTAAAGATAATATGACTAGGAGCGCATAAATAAATATACATAAAGTTTGCTACCTGGTTAGTTATAAGTACAGCCCATAATTTTGGATAAATTGTTTTACTTCATACGTGTTAAACTACTATTCTATTGTTTTCTGTATTTTCTTTATGACAGCCCAAAAATTTCTTGATTTTTTTTCTTAATGCTATCATGGTTAAAATAGCAGCTGCACCAATCCCTCCAAAGACATATTTGAAACTACCTTTAGAACCGCCTTTCTTTTCCGAGGATGTCGAATGGTTTGAGGGGTTTCGGGGATTCTGGGTCTTTCTTTTTTTTTTTTTTTTTTTCACCATCCTCTTTATCAAATTCAATGTCGCTTTCATTATTTTCATTATCATTACTTTCAAGAGAGGCAGTTACACAACCTATTTCATCACCTCCCATATTTACGGATAACTCTACCTGCTCGACACCTGTTCGTTCGCATTTGAATAATTACTAATTCTGAAATCTTTGTCAACGGAAAATGAAATGGAATAATAATACAAACTATCTAAAGTTCCAGTTATTTCGTAACAGTTGATTCATCTTCTTCAATTTGGCACCTCGAGCCGAAGTTGGAGTTTAGTTTACTTTTTAAACATGATCGGTCAATATCAGATTTTCTCGACGTAATATTTTTAGAGGCAGTATTTGCACATTACACTTGGTAGACAATGTTACTAATTTCTATCTATTTATAGCTATTGTAGGAATTGGTTCAAAGAACTTGATACCAGTCCCTGTAGACGATGCAGCACGCATGGATATAGATCAACTTAAAGAGTCGCTCAAAGAATGTGTTGAAAAAAGACAGGCTGTCTACGCTGTGGTGGCGATATTGGGATCAACAGAACATGGTGCTTGTGACCCGTTGGGGGATTGTAACGAAGCTTGGAATGAATTGTATAGGTTTGGTTTGATTAATATTAATGGAGTTTACTCCTTGAACATAGAAATTGATAGAATTTTTCCAATCCGAGTAATAAACATCAAAACTCGTAAATTAAATTTCACTCTTAGAACCACAGTTCTTTAAGTTAAAAGTTGGAATCATGTTACCCGTTGGCTTCGAAATCGACAAACCTTCCGTTACGCGGAATGAAAATAGAATTATTGCATAAACATTTGTAAGAATCTTGGATATGTTTGTATTAAATTTTTGTAAATTTACACCAGGTATTAAAGAATGAAAAAAAAATTTTTTTTTCGCAAGACAATCGGTTAGGTAATTATGTAGAATCAACAACTTGTTTGAATCGGGTACAGTAAATATATGGGGGGCGGTCAGTAGAAAAGGGGGAAATCCACTTTTTAGTCAAAAATTTTTTTATTGGTTCACTCTGCTGATCATGGTCATGTGAACAAAACTAGCTTAATAACTAAAATTAATCAAAATTTGTAGATTTCCCCCTTTTCTATTGACCGCCTCCCATATATTAAAAAATCGACTATATTATGTAATCATTAAAGTGAACAAATATCATCAAGAAAGGCAATAATGGCGCACTTTTATTCTTAATAGAAAAGATATCTTGGAAAGTAGCTTTCTGAATTGTTATTTTACGAACAAAAAAATTTTGGCGAATTTTCGTCGTATATAAATGAGAAGGTTCCAGAATGGTTGATGTAATCCTCCAATAACTAAGTAAATTAGGTAAATTAGGTAAAACGATTGATCGGTGATTTATTTAAAATCTCTTCGTACTATTTTTCATTTTTACCCAAGCTCCGGAAAGGGGAAAAAAATAAAATTATGTAAAAGTTCATACACCGGAAACGTTCAAAGCAATGTAACGTAGTGATTCACTTCGAGCACGTGACTTAATGCATCAACCTTTTTTTGACAATTTGGAATTTGAACCATAAAAATTGCTTTTTACAGTTGAATTAAGCAACTTTGGATTATTCATATAAACTTCAAGTATGAATTTCAGCTTAAATTACTTTCAAGCTTACAAGCAAAATATTTTCAAGGTTGACATTAGTATTTTCGCCTATAGACGTTACATTACAAAATTACTGCGAAACGGCATTATGACATCAGAATGAGCAATTAATTATTATGACGATTTTATTATGTATGAAAAAAATTTTACTATAAATAAATAAATCCTGAATTTTCGTCTGACACGGCCGGGTCACAGAATCTGAAAATTTACTTTGCACAGCCTTGTCCCTTAAAGATTGACCAATCAGATATAATATCTAAATATAAACTTTTTTATTAATAAAAAATAAATTCCATTTGAATGCTTAGAAATTTTATCTATTATTAAATACTGTTGATATTTATGATTCAAATTTCAATTTTAATAAAAAATTTATTGAATTGAAGTCAAGAAGTTTTAATAAAGCATATTCAATGCTTTTATTTCACGTGAATTCTCTTAAAATTTGGCAAGTGAATGATAGATGATGAAATTTTTTTAATCTTGAACGTCCACTTACAATATTATTTTTTTGCAGGCAAAAAATATTGGTTGGTTCGTAAATTTTATGGTCGAGAAGTTGCCTGGATTGATTGTCTGACCGATTAGTTTTTTGAATAGATTACCATGATTTCGATTATATAGGACATAATTCTTAAATAGTACAAAAAAGATGATAATAACAATGTAAAAAAAAAATATATAATGTAAAAAATATTTTAAAAAAAATTTTTGGCTGTACATTAAGCTAGGGTTTCCGTTTGAAATTCAAATATCATTTCAAATATTTGAAAGTTTTGACTGATTAGTTTTTTCATTATTTAATTTATTTTTCGATTGGATAAATGGGTAAGTATTTTTATATTTTTTTTAATTTATTAATTTATTTTAATTGAAATTTTTTTTTTTTCGATTTTCAGTTATTAATTGATGATTTTCAAATATCTATATAATTGCAAATATTTGAATTTTTATTTATTTGCAAACAAAATATTCAAAGTTCTATTTAAATGGAAAATGCCAATTGAATAATTTATTTTTCAAAAAAAAATGGAATTTTGTACAATACGTATTTCTCTAATACTCTTTCGTAGCCTGTTTCAGTTCCAATATATCCCAGTTTTCTATCATTAAGAGCGTTTCACCATGTTTAATGGCGTAGAAGTATAGGCAAAGGTAATATTTATAGATTAATTATCCGACAAAAGAAATGCGTTATTTGTTGAATGTGTTTTTTAAATATTGTGACAAAGTCAATAAAAGGTTTCCACTATTAAATTATTCAATATTTCATGTTGTATACAGTACGACAGAATAATCAATTTGACCAGTCTGTGCCTCATTTGATATCACATCTTAATTTCATTTTTGTAAGGGGTTAAATCACCTCTTTTCTTTATTTTAATTGTTTTTATAAATTATCTTTTTGAATTATCATATATTTTGAAATATTTATCAATTTGATACATATAATATTTCATTTTCATTAATTTTTTTATATTTAATAAATACTTTGCCTGAATAATATAATTAGTGGATTAAAGGTTTTTTTTAAAAAAAATTTGGTAAAAGGTTATGCGCATGCAAATAACTACTTCGCTATTTGATCATAAAAAAAAATAAAAATAAAAACGAAAGAAAAAAGAAATAATAAAAAAAACTAATATTAAAAAAAAAATATATATATAAAAAGAACGAAATCCAAAAATCAAGCATTAAATTAAAAATTAAAATAAAAATTAAAAATCAAAAATTTATCGCGGGTTATTAAAAATCAAATTAAATATCAAATAAAATACTTCCAAATATTAAGACCGGCCATGACCATGAATCTAGTTAGATATATATAATAATCTTTGAACTTCGATCTTAAAAGTGCTATTTAATAATCTTTTAATTGCTGTATTACACTTTATTAGCAGCATATAATAACAAAAGCAAATTTCTGGTCCTTTTATAATGAAATCAATATTATTAAACAACTTTTGGAGGGTTATTTTTCGTCCAAAATTTGGACATTTGTATATACAATTGATGTTTATTCTTAACAAAATTGTATTATACAAGTTAAATTTTTAAGTTTTCTTTTATATATTCAGTTAGCCAAATGAAATAAAGAACTTTGTTTATTTATACAAGAGATAAATAAAATAAAATCAACAATAAAAAATGTATCAAAATATATACGTATTGTTGATAAATTGAAGAGAAAGATTTCTAAAGTGTGCGAAAAGGAGGAAAATAATGACGGTAATTACGAAGCCGTTGTTAGTGATAATCCGTTTGCGTCACTAGATGACTGCGCCAACTAAATGTCACTAGGAAAAGCGTGATCATCATTTTCACTAATTTCATTGCTATCACGGTTATCGTTGTGATATTCATTTTCTTT